TTACTGCTGCTCTCACAGGGTCTGCCCCATTTTAACACCCACGTGATGACCACAAGGTCAGACCTTAAATTTTCCCTACTTTCAAATTTTTAAATAAACTAATCTCCCAAGCAGCATTATTAAAATGTCAGTATCCAAGGCAAGACAGTCACTTATTCTGATGTTTGACAGATGTAAAGACAGACTTAACTAATTAAACTCACCTTCTGAGTGGCTTCTTTTTTCTTTTTATCCTCTTTCTTCCTTTTCTTGTCTTCCATTAACTGTTCTTCCCTTTCTTGCTCCTTCTCTCTGTTAAAGCAATGTCATACCGGAAGGTTACACATTTATATTTACAATACATTTCCATAGCAACATTCATCTCTGTGACTGCACAGAACATGGTATGTTACTTAAAACAAATGGATGCAAAAACCTCCCCACATGTAGGCAACCCCACATCTTGGTCTGCTACCCCTTTTACAAAACATTACAGTAAGTCTGGTTTCAAAGAAATCTATTAATTTTTTTAGTATCTACTACCTAAAAGAATATATGCACACAAGCTTAAAGTATTTGTACTCAGCAAAGGATCTGACTTGAATATGACAATACTTAGTTGGTGTGATGGCTTGTATCTAGATGTTTCCTCAAAGCCGGCTTTTGGAGGTGGCTAGATCTACAGTGTGTGATGCTGGGATTAAGGATACGACACTGAGATTGATTCATGGTGTGATGCTAGTATTAAGGGTGTCCCACCCAGGGTGTGACGGCGAAAGTAGGTAGCCTGGATAGAATGCAAGGGACAGAAAGAGGATGCCGTTTTCACTGCTTGTCACTTTGCTGCTTCCTCGCTACTGTGGTGCCTTCTGCCCATTATGAAGTGTTTTTTCTCTGCAGTGCCCCTCTGCCATGCCACCCTGCCTTGGAGCTAGGCAAGTATGAACTACAATCTCTATAAACTGCAAGTTACAATAAACCTTTCCTCCTTTAACTATGGGTGTCAGGTATTTTGTCTCAGCAACAAGAAAAGTAACTAAGACAGTTCACTTCTGGCAGTAATTTTTTTCCCGGCAGTACTTCGAACAAATAATATAGAATATATTAATTCAATTATTATATATGTACATGTACCTAATTTAGTTGTTTGCCCAAGATCTCTTCAGAGAGGTAAATATACAAGTCTTCGTTCTATATTTTGTGTTATTCCTTTACATTAATACAATATAATCTCTATTTTTGTATCTGTTTGCAATACTGGGGATAGAATCCATGGGTAGTCCACCATTCAGTATACTTCCCCCCACACACACGTTTTTATAAGTTTGAGACACAGTGTTGCTAAACTGCCCAAGGTCACCTTAAATTTGTGATCTTCCTGCCTCAGCCCCCCAAGCAGCTCCAAAAAAAAGCATGTGCCACTGTGTTTGGCTCTGCTTGTGTTTTTAAGACAGAAACTGATTGTTCTACAAATCAACCTATATTCTCTTCAGGTGAATTCACAATTGAACCCTCCTGTACACATAAATTATGTCTATCAGGGTTCAAGCTACCCAATTAAAATAAAAACAATACATAGTAATAAACATTCCAGTTGAAGAAATATGCTAAAATCTTAATATAATTTCTAATGTACATTTGGAAACCTAACATTTATTCTAATGCCAACAACTTTCACTCTAAGAATCCACTGGGAAAACCACAGAATCAACCCCACTGTGTAACTTTAATGCTCAAGGTAGGAAGTCCAGATGTGAGGCTAACAGAATTTCGAAGGTGGGGGCTGGGGATTTAGCTCAGCGGCAAAGCGCCTGCCTGGCAAGTGCAAGGTCGTGAGTTCGGTTCCTGGTACCGGAGAAAAACCAAAAAAAAAAA